TTCAATTTGATAAGATGATGAAAACGTGCTTCGGGCCAATCCAATACCGACTTTTCGTTTTCAAAACTTGTCTCCGTGTCATTGAATACTTTGTCCACGCTGTGATATTGGCGTTTCACATTTTTCAACCATGTTTCTAAAATTTCCACGCTGGCATCTGTATTGTGATCGGAACGAATCCTGTAATGAGATATAGGGGAGACATGCAATTAGTTAAATGTTTGAAATAATATTAGGCAAAAAATTGCAAATTAAATAATTTTAGAAATTTAAAATATTTGAGAAATGTAAAATATTTAAAAAATTTTTATATTTTACAGATTTTAGAAAAGTTTTTGTTTCCAAGTTCAAATATTTTGGAAAATTTTGAATATCTTCGAAATTTTAAATACTTTAACAATTTTAAGTATTTTTGAAAATTATTTTCTAATTTGTGAAATATTTTAAATTTGTAAAATTTCTTAAATATCTTAATTTCTAAAATATTTTTAATTTCCAAAATATTTAAAATTTCCAAAATATTTAAAATTTGTAAAACATCTTAATTTCTAAAATATTTAAAATTTCTAAAATATTTAAAATTTCCAAAATATTTAAAATTTCTAATATATTTAGAATTTTTCAAATTTTTAATATATAATAGATATTTTAAATATTTTGGAAATTTTAAAAATTTTGAAAATTTAAAATATTTTTGAAATTTAATATATTTTGAAAATTTTAAATATTTAAGAAATTTAAAATATTTTACAAATTTTAATATTTTTATATATATTAAAAATATTTCATATATGAAAATAATGTCCCTAAAGTAATCAGATTGTCACTGGGCTCTACAAATTCAGACATGCGGGACTATCATCTATAGATAAGCTTAGATCAATTGGGTCATACTCCTAGGGTTATTTATCAAATTGAAAAATACAACTTCCGACTAAGAAGGATCATAAGATTGTAATAAACCCCTGTGTACTTAATATATCCAAAAATTCCCGAAAAAAGGTTTGGCCCATTTTTATATTGCTCAGTTTCATCGCTCGTTAGAAGCGGTTTCGGTTGTATCTTCAAATGTGTACGGCTATTAGAATACCCCGATTATCTAAACACTTTCAAATCTTCTATGCTCACTGCTCTTCTGTTGAACCACATTGTGGTTAAATGATGCTGGCATATGTTCTGCTTATGGAATTACAGAAACCATAAAAAATTCCTAAGCAATAAAATTCCAACACATTGATATTTTGGATACTGGAGTGTCATCTATAAAACAGAACGATCGCTCTGAAACTCAAAATACCATATCCTTAACTAACATGCAGTGTTGGATCTATCCCCCATATACCTTTAAGATACACCAAACAAATATTATAAAAATAAATTAAAATAAAAAAGTATTTCAAACTTACCACAATGCAATGCGATCCTTGGGATAATCCAATTGATCCAAATAGGTAAGAAACAGCGGCAGGACATGAGCCTTATTACGCACCAGCAAGGCTATCAATACTTTGGGTGGCGATTCACCCAAATCTTGGGCAGCAGATGGGCAATACGTTGCACCGATTCGGGTGGTGTCTTACCGTATGTGCCGGTCCATAGACCACAACAACATCCGGTTATGAGAAAAAATATCCACACAGTTTTCATTTTAATAAAAATTCTGTTTTTTTGTTTAGATTATAGGGATGTGTGAATGGGAGGAGTGTGTGTTTGTGTTTGCGCGGCTACGGTGCGGGTGTGTACCAGAAACTGTGTCTGGTTGTGCCGCTGGTTACTGAACAACTGATACTGAATGAATATTATCCGTGCGCTACATGAGTTTTTTGTTTTTCTTTTCTGAAAAACTATCTCTTCGTTTTTGTTTTGTTGAGCCATCAATTCTATTTGGCGCCAACTAATCCACGCATACTTTTTCTTTACAATATTCCATTGAATTAGTATGATGAAGCTTATCTCCTCCTTCTTTTTCTTCCTCCCCTCCACTATCACATAACAAACAATTTAATTTTTTCAATAAAACTTTGTTCCAATTGCATTCACTTCGTGTTTATGTCAACGCCGGCAACTGTTATATTGTGCCGGCGTCATTCTTCACGTAAAACGTAAACATATGGCAACGGGCAATGAAACAGTGATACTTAAATAGATACGTCAATAAAATGGCAGAAAACAATGCCTGTTATGTATTTAACGGAAAATTTAGTAAATATTTGAATTAAATTGTATTAAAATGAGATTTAATTAAATATTTGACATTTTATTATGTCAACACCGTCATCTATTGTATTGTGCCGGCGTCATTCTCAACCAAAAACATAAACATATGCAAACCGACAATGAAACAGTGATACTGAAGTGAATACGCATTTAAAATGGCAGAAAACAATGCAATTCAATGAGTTAACGGAAAATTTAATAAAAAATGGACTTAAATTGTGTTACAATGGGAATTAATTAAATATTTAAACTATTATTGTCATAAAATTTATAAATTTTAATAAACATATTTTATATTTATTATTTATCAAATATATGAAAAACAGTTAAATATGTCACCGAAGAAGTGGCTTAGCTATCATTTATATTTTATTCTGAAGGAGTTTTTTATACTCTATTAATTAATGTTGCTGACATTTAGCCATTCTTTGAATCATACATAGGCCAGACAGGGGGAATTTGGCGAACTGAAAATATTAAATCGCTTCTGAAATGGCCTGCGACTTAATAATTAAAAAAGGGGATGATTATAATACCCCTGTAAGGGAAATATAATGTGTTTGACCTCTTAGTAGATAGTAGTACTGTGTATGTTCCAGCCATGTGGGTCATCTGGAGCTTTCTTTTGTTTATTAATAAGGCCATTCTTCTGTTTATTAATAAGGTCATCCAGGGAGACTAGCTGGATATCAGCTGATTCTCAAGTTTGCTGTCAAAAACCATTATGAATTGTGAATTGACTTCCATTATAAAAACGAAAACAAAGTAAAAAAAAATTGACTTTATATTAAAAAAACAGCTGACTTTTGGTTGCTGGGTGACCCTATTAATAGATCTTGTGTGGGGAAGACAGTGAAACGCTGGAATATTTCCTGTGCCATTGTCCAGCATTTATATCCCTTCAGAGACAATTCTTGGGAAATGACACTCTTCACGGACTAACCGATGTGAGGGGGTGTGAATGGAGAAGATTGAAGGAGTTCGCAAAAAACACGGAATTCCTAGATTCATAGAAGAATCAAAACCAAATGTTGTTAATATAAACTTTCATTAATTCTTGACTTTCTGCGCATTTCTAGACCCCACAACAGGCCTCAAATGGCTTATGTGTATGTCCTTCTCATGTTGGACATGTTGTGGTATCATCCATCCCTCTTTTCAACCTAACCTAATAGATCTTGATATGTAGACCACTGCAGTTAATTTGATAAATCTCTTTTGAAATTCTATGCATCTTATAGTATGTTTACATTGTACCGGATTCATTTAATCCAGTAGAAAAATTATCATTATTTATTCACGTTTTAGGTTAACGGAACCCCATATATTCGATATTTTGAATATCTTGGACACCTTTTGCCAACGAAATGGTTGTTATTTTATATTTTAGGTTCTCATTGGGCTGTAAATCTCCCTACTAAAAACGATCAATACTCGGTCCACGATCAAGTTGAGTTCCCATATGGAGCTACCATCAATTTTTGGTGTTATGCGGTTTTCGGAAAAGTTTTTGAGGCTGTAATTACATATTTTTTAATCTTATTTGATGGTAAATCTTCCCACCAAAAGTTGTCAATATTGGTCCACGTTTTCCTATAGTCCCCATACAAAGGTACCCACCAATTTACGATATTTTGGATATTGTGGGAACGTTTTTCAACCGACAAGGTTCTTATTCAATATTTGGTTTTCTTAATCGGTGTTAAATTTTCGGTCTACGTTTTGTTATAGCCTCTCCATAGAGGTGCCCCCAAAAATTTCGATATTTTAAAAACTTGTTTTTTAAAGAAAAGGGGTCTATTGTGTTCTCATTAGGTAGCATATCTTCCTACCAAAAATTATGAATATTGAACCAAGTTTCAGTTTAGCCCCCCTATATCGGTGACCCCAATTTCTGTATTTTTAAGATTTTGGTCTCGATTTTCAACATAATTGGCTGTAAATTAATATTTTTAGTTCTCATTGAGTGGAAAATCTTGCTACCAAAAATTATGGATATCGGTCGAAGTTTCCTTATAGCCCTTAGGTGGAGATTTTGGGATCGTTATTCAACCGATTAAGCTGTATTTTGATATTTTGGTTTCTCATTACTACCAACAATTATGAATATTGGCCCATGTTCCAAGGCAGTCCCCATAAAGCGGTGGACCCAATTTCCGAGTTTTTTAAGATTTTGGTCTCGTTTTTCATCACAATTGGCTGTAACTTAGTATTTTGAGTTCTCATTGGGTTGAAAATCTTCCTACCGAAAATGATCGATAAAGGTGCCCCTGAATATTCGGTATTGTGGAGATTTTAGTCACGTTTCAACCGATTTGGCTGTAATTTTATATGTTGGGTTCTCAATATATAGCAAAATTTCCTATGAAAAAATTTCGATATTGGTTCTCTTTTAAGCCTAGTCCCAAATATAACAATACTTCCCAAATTTCGATGCTTGGCTGTAATTTGATATTTTGGGTTCTCAGTAGATATCAAATCTTCCTGTCAAAAATCATCATTATTGGTCGACTTTTTAGAGTGGCCCCAAATTAGGGTTTCCATATATCGTTTTGTTCGATTTCATAACTCAAATTTTGTTCACAACAATTTCAAAAATTTATTTACAATTATTAAATAACAAACAATTAAATTAGGTTCACGCTGCCGCTGTATGGGGTTTTGCATAGGCGGGGAAATTTAATTTCAAACCTTCTCTAGCCTCAAAGAAGGTATAGGACAACGTAATGCTATCGACATTTTCCAATTTCGGATCTTTGACATACTCAGGGTCAATGTAGAAGAAGACAGGCATGTCGACCTAAAATATATAATAGAAAAATATGTGAAAATATAGAATTCGACATAAGTTGAATATAGGAGCTGGGGACTCGGATCGATCTGATTACGTCAGAGTAGGAGGGGGAGTCAATAATTCTCCCCAAATATATGGCACAGAAAAAATCTTAACTTATATTTATTAAAAGTCATTATAATTTTTTACCAACGGTAGGTCAGGTCGTAGACCAAGTAGAAGACAACTTCTTGGAACGTCAATAATTCTCCCCAAATATATGGCACAGTAAAAATCTTAACTTATATTTATTAAAAGTCATTATAAATTTTTACCAACGGTAGGTCAGGTCGTAGACCAAGTAGAAGACAACTTCTTGGAACGTGGCCTTTCAAATTGGAGGAGATGCGTACAAGACCGACGCGCTTGGAAATCTTGTTTAAGCTCGGGTTATGGAACAACCGTTCTGTAATAAGCCAGCTAAGTAAGTAAGGTCAGATCGTTCCCAGTCCAAGCTCCCACATTCAACTTGTTCCCAAAAATCCCTGTAATTAATTCCGAATATAAAACCCACCTCCTCGTGTGGATTCAATTGCTGCTCCTCGAAACAAAAACATTGTATCTTATTAAAATATGCTCCCGCCTCAAATGGCACCACATTATAGGTACTTATACCAATGACCGGATGATCTGTAGGATTTTTCGCTGTATAAAATGCTAAAGCTGTCTCACCCGGAGCCACTTTAATTTCATATTGTTGGGGACGGAAATTCCAACGCATTGAGGAGGCCACATCGGCATTGAAACGGACCTTGATAATGCGATCTTTAACCTTTTCCATGGTTTCGACTTTTTCGGCATCGTGACCCTGACTGGTGGTGCCACCATAACTGTAGGCCTACAAAAGGAAAGGGAATATTTTATAACGATTCTCCTTGAAATGAATTCATTACCTGACAAAACATTCGGTATAGTGGCACGGCGGCATAACTTAAACCCACAATTAAAACACCTCCCGCAGTGACATAGTAAAGTGTGGACCTTAAATTTGTTTTCCTTATCGACTCAGCTCCCGGTCCTCCACCGCCTGTTCGTTGTGATGGTCGTGGTGTTTGCAGCGAATATGAACGGGGTGTTGTGGTTTTTACACTGGAGCGCAGACATTTTGAACTTAGCTGACCTATAAAGCGTAACATTTTATTTAATCTCTGCTGGAAGTGGGTTTAAAAGGGTCTCTTTTTCCCGAGGAGTCTGTCGTTCCTGAACGTAGTGGTGGTTCAAAGGAACTATTCATGCAATTGAACCAATTTTGTAATCATTGCGAGGTTAGAACAGCTGTTAAGTGTTACGAAAGGGGTGGGAACGGATAAAAGAAGAAAAACAGCTGAGCTAAAAATTGAGTGTCAAGAATATGTGTGGAATGGGGGAATCAACAAGATACCGGTCGTGGAGTTAAAACTTAAAACTTATATGTGCTGCCTTTCAAACTGTAATGCAGGGAATGATTTATTTAATATATTAATTATTGTTAATATTTTACTAACGGTATTTATTGACTAAAAATAATATTTATTTTTGAAAAATTTCCCACCAAAAAATCCTGGATTTTTAAAAAAAGATTTCTTCAAAAAAATTCAAAGCAATTAATAGTTCTTTCGTTTACAGTGACTTTCAAACTTTAGCGATTGCAATGAGAACGGTAATAATTGTTACAGGGTGTTTGCTCTTAATATACAATATCACCCTGTTTTTTACAATTTGAATGCTTTAAAAATACAAAAGTAATTAACGTTTCGTTCATAGTGACTTTCAAACTGTAACCTTTGCCAAAAGGACGCTAATAATTGTTACAGGGTGTTTGCTCTTAATATACAATGACACCCTGTTTATTATCATTTGAGTGTTTTTAAAAATATCAAATCAATTTTCCGTTCCTTTCGTTCATAGTGACTTTCAAACTGTTACAGTTGTGTGATTGCTCTTAATATACAATGTCACCCTGTTAATTATCATCAGAGTGCTTGCAATGGCAAAACAAGAGGTGAATCAATGACAATGTAACGGTTGCCATGCGAACGGTAACAATAGCGACCGCCATGTCACCCTGTTATTAAGTGGTTGAAGTGCTTTCAATGGCAAAACAAGAGGATTTGTTGACAGAAAAGGAAGTAAATAAAAATATATAATTAATAAATGAAATAAAAACATATAAATTTAATTTGTAATTAAATTAACTATTAAAATTGTGAATTAAACGTCATTTTATTTAATTAAGTAATTGATAAAAGGTAAGTGACGTAAAGTGATAAAGGCAGTAGTTTTGTTATTGTTTACTTGCGGTGACGATGGCGTTCTTACACTACAGCGTAAAAGGCGTGTTTGCATTTAAAATCAGAAACTCGAGATAAAATATATTTAAAATAGGGAAAAATAAAGTGTCTCGCATTGGAAAAAAAAAATCCGAAAAAAATTATTTTCGAACAGAAAAATTTCTCAGGAAAAAATCGGAAATATTCATATAAACAGAAAAAAATTTTCAAGAAATTGCGTGTAGAAAAAAATTATGAACATTTATTCATATTACTTACTTACATAGCTGGCTTGTGACAGAACATTCGTTCCATAAGCTGAGCTTAAAAAAGATTTCGATCCTTTGCGCAGTTTTTCTAGTTTGAAAAATCATATTCGGCAATGTTGTCTTCCACTTGATCTTTCCATTTTATTCGTGGCCTTCCACTTCTGAGTGAGCCATCAGCTGGTTCGTTTTTATATGCCTTTTGGGCTGGGACATCTTCAAGCTTTCTCACAACATGAGCTAGCCAACGTAGTCGCTGCAGCTCAATACGTCTAACAATGTCGATGTCCGAGAATAGCTGGTACAGCTCATGGTTCATTCGACGGCGATATTCACCGTCAACGCAGATCGGCCCATAGATCTTTGGACGAATTTTTCTCTCAAACACTTCAAGAGCTGCCTCATCTGCTTGCGTAAGTACCAATGCTTCAGATCCATATAACAGCACGGCGGGTAGTATCAGCGTCTTGTAGAGTGTGAGTTTGGTCTGGCGGGAGGTGGCCATGCTTTTAAGTTGCTTAGTAGCATCTGTTGGCCCACACTATCCTCCGAATTTCAATACTGATGTCATTAGTCAATGAATATAAAATGTTTGATTACCTCGGAGCTATAGTTCTCAAGTTCCACAGTTGGTCTGAGTCTACTGGACGTCTTGCGCGTTCTCGCCGTTTACTTGTTCTTTCTTTTTTTCTGAAAACACGTTTCTCCTCTCTCATTTTTTCCCGATAATTCTTCATCACATTACGTGTTGCTACTGTCTGCAGGGTTGCCATATACGCTGCGATTTATTGAGATCAAAAATTGATTAGCTTTGTTATTGCTACGAAGTTCCTTGGGTCTCTTAAAGAACTTATGTGAGAAAATATTTATTGAGATTAAAAATTTATTAGAATTTTAAAGAAGTTTTTTGAAATGTTATCCTCTAACCTTTATATAAAAATATTTACCTCGGGAAGTTTCAAATATTATTTTTTTTTTCAGAAAAAAACCAAAAAATCATGGACCTTAATGACAATGGCCTTGATGATTTCGATAATTTCTTTGGCGCTAAGAAGACCAAAAAACCAGCTTCGAAAATCCCTGACCCCATGGATGATTTATTTGGCCTAGACGAAGGCAAAGATGACAGTCGTGTTCCTGCACCACGCAAGACCATAACAAAATCGCTCGGCGTTAAATCTTTACTTGCCGATACCAAAGCCGGAGGGGACGACGATGATGATTTGGGATTTGATCCGAAGAAACCCAAAGGGGGTTTGAATAAATCAAAAAACCTTTTCGATGATCTCTTAACTCCCTTGGAGACCAAAAGGCCTCAAACGGCAGGACCGCCCTCGAAACCACCGACAATTTCGCGACAATCCACTGATACCACCACAGATACTTCAAATATTTTACAGACTCAAGCAAGGCCAAAAACATCGGCAGGACGTCGAACATCTAATATACAAAACCCTGATCCCTTGGGTTTATTTAGTAAAGAGAGGGAAGGAAATGTTCCCAGCTCCTCGGGTAGGTCAACACCAAAAACTAAGAAGAAAGGTACCACTGCCGATTGGTTGGGTTTAAATACGGAAACGGAACCTGAGCCACAGCCTGTGGCACCAAAACCCAGTACTCGGCCACAAACACCAAAGGTAAATATTCCACCGCCAACAACAACCACACAGGAAGCTGCCGAAATTTTACACATACCCGATGTTAGAGAAGATCACTATGAAGATTCGGCAGATGAATTATTGAACACGGAAAGACATCCAGCGCCTACACAGCAAATGGAAATAAATCCCAAAGAGCCTCAAGAAAATATTTTAATAGATTCCACGGCCCATAATATACGCCTAATGAATACCATGAATCTGGAGGCCAAACAAAGTTTCACTGCCCTTAAATATCAGGAGCAACAGCTTCTGATGGCTGCTCAAATGAAGCAACAGGAAAAGGTCCTTATGGATATGCAACAGAGACAAAATAACCTTCTACAACAACAGGAAAGACAATTCCAAACTTTGCTGCAACAACAAATGCAACGTCATCATCAACTGGAGGATCTCATCAAGCAGCAACAGAATCGCATTAATACCCATTTGCATTTGCTAATGTCCCAGCCACCGGTGATAGAGAGCGGATCTGTAGCTGGAGATTTGGATGAAGTTTCACCAAATTATCGAGAGGATTATAGGAAAGAAACTAAGCAGGAAGAGAGAGAAGAGCGTCGGGATAGAGAGAAGCAACATGAAATGGATGTAATCCAACTGGAGGCGGATAATAAACGTTTGGAATTGGAAAATCTCCGGTTAGAAGAATTGGTGGCCAATACGAAAAATAATTATGAAAGGGAAATTGAAATATTGGAGAAGACCTATAAGTGAGTAAAGAAAATATTTTTTATAAAATATAAAATTCGTAAAAGTAGCTTAAAAATCCAGGACCACATAAGTGTCCTAGGAGAAATAGTACTTCCGATTTATTGAGAACAAAAATTGATTAACTCAAAAAAATCCGTGTCTGTGTCTCTATTTACAGAAAACAAATCGAAGTCCTCGAGGAGCATCTCTCAAATCTCGAGAAACGTTTAAAATCTGAAATTGAAGAGCTACAAAATTATTTTCAAAAGAAAATCGATACATTGGAAGAGGAAAAATCTCAACTAAAATTGTCCTACACCGAAGAAATTCAAAATCTCAGACAAGATCATGAAGACGAGGTTCGAAAATTAAAAAAGAATCAAGAAGAAGATTTGGAAATGTTGAAGGAAGAACATCGCCGCATGTTGGACAATATACGACAGGCGAAAATGTTGGAATTTGCTGCGGTGCAAGAAAATGGTTCTTACCTCGAATGCTTGCGTGTGGCCTCTTCCAATCTCAGCGAATTGACGGGAGGTCTCAGTGAACTCAAAGAAAATATGCAAAATAAAATTGACAATATGCAATTAGAAAGAGAAAAGAAATTGGAGGCTAGAGAGAAACGTATTGAGGATGCCGAGAGGAGACTGAAGATCAACGAAGAGTCAAATGAGACGGAGAAACAAAGACTGATGGAATTGGTGAGCACTTTGGAGTTACAGATGGCTAAAATGTCCAAAGATTCCGCAGAGGAGAATTGGCAATTAAGACAAAAATTGGCTAGCCTCGACGCCGAGAAGGTTGCCTTTGCAAAGGAACGGGAATTCTTTCGCGAACAAATGCTTCGAGATGAGGAGCGCATAAAGGAGCTCAAAGAACTTCAACTCTTGGAGACTCAACGTATGCAGACACAAATTCAAGAGGAACGGGCCCAGTTGCAGGTGGAAAAATCGAAATTTGACTTGGAAAAGCGACTCCACGCCAATACTGACAATCAAAAGGAGCGTCAAGAAATTGAAGCTGCCATGCAAGTGGCCCAAGATGCTGCCCGCAAAGCGGATGCCGAGCGAGAACGTTATTACAAAATGCAACGTCAGTTGGAACAACAAAAACGTGACCTTGCCGATAAAGAACATGCTCTCAGCGTCAAAGAAGAGGAACTACAACAAGAACTTATGTCCTACCGCATGGCTGAGAGGGTGGCGCAAGAAACACAACAAAAAGCCAAAATGGCTGAGCAATTCTTTCACAATAAAATACAAATGCTGCAGCA